GGGGGGGGGGGGGGGGGGGGGGGGGGGGGGGGGGGGGGGGGGGGGGGGGGGGGGGGGGGGGAGACGGCCGCCTCCGGTCATCCTGTCCCTGGTGATGGATTAAGAAGTGCGCCCCTCGGCGGGGGGGTGAGGGCAGGATGCGCCAGCCGCCCGGGGGTGGCTGGGTGAGTCAGGCCAGGCCGCGCCCCTCTGCCCACACGCCGGGGTCAACATATCTCCGGGGATGGCTGTGGCCCGAGGACAGGCGCCGGACCCGGGAGAAAGGATTCCTCCAACGATAGAGTTCGGGAAAGCATGGATTCCTCGCGGTTTTAGGCCTGGCCGGTCCCAAAGTTCCAGTACCCCTTTCGGGATGAATGCCCCCCCCCCCCCACACACACACACATACACATACACACATTCCAAGTATGGGCAGCATGAAGGCACATTAGCTGGGTAGGATGTGTAAAAGCCTGAAATTGGGGCGGAAAGACCAAGAGCGCTGATGGTGCCTCGCGAGCAGCTGCCGGCTTTTGGAGGCCACACCCCGCCGTGCAAGAACGGAACAGGCAGCCCCAGACAAGACCCGGGGCTCTTGTGGGTAAAGTTACTGCTCTCCACGTCACATTCCGGAACCCACAACCTCTCAGCTGTGGCGTATATCACACGACGGAATCACGGGACACAATCGCATGGTGCCGCGCACCCCGCCATCCGGCCTGCCAGCCATCTCCCCCCCCTCCCCCCCCTGGCCGCTCCGGCCGCGACCCGCCAGCATGGCGCCCGGGGTGTGCCCGTGAATCTGCACATCCGAGAGAAGGAGACCCGGCACTCGGGCGTGCTCCGCGGACGGGGCCCGGCCAGGTGGACCGCGTCAGCACGGGAGGGGGGGGGGGGGGGGGGGGGCCGGTCCAGCGCGCAGACGGGCGCCAGTGTCGAAGAACACCCATACGCGCCGCGGCAGGAGGATTGGTACGCGTGTGCCCTGGTGCACCGGGTGTGGGTGTGCGCGCATGGGGGGCCCTTGCTTCTGGAGTATGTGCACGCGGAGATCTCAAACCGGGGCATGCCGGCGGTTGGGTTTCCTCACGGGCACCCCCACACCTCTCCCTCCCATTCGCCTCCCTCCCCGAGGCTTCTCTCTCCCCTCTCCTCCCGCACGCACGCACGCACGCACGCACGCACACACACACCGGGTCGCCCATCCGCACCACTGCCGTCCGGCGCTCAGTACCCCCTTCCCGTCTTTTTATTTCCCTCCCTCTCTCTCTCTCTCGGGACCTCCCCCCTCCTCGTCTGAGCCATGTCCACCCTCAGCACGCCCCTCTCCGTGGCCAGCCGCCTGCGCTTCGCCCTGTACGCCAACATCGGCCTCCGGGGGTCGGTGCGCACGCTGGCCTACCAGGATGCGCTGAAGCTTGGCGCCTCTTCCGAGGGGCGCGAAATCATCGAGCGCCTGGAGGAGGTGTCTCTGCGCATTGACCGGGCCCTCTTCGAGTTCGAGCGCTCGCCAAACAAGTACCCCGGGCCTTTCCAGCAGAAGATGAAGCGCCTGCAGGACATGTACTCCGAGCTGACGCCGGATGATCTGGGCTTCTACACCCTGACGCTCAAGGAGCCGCGCAGCCTGACCATCGGCCATCCGCTTCTCCGCCAGCGCAGCCTCCCGGTGGATACGACCTTCTACCAGTCGGAGGACATGGTGCGTGCGGTGCACGCCATGAAATTCAAGCTCGACTACGACATGGAGGACTTCCACTTGACCGCCATCTCGGCCGTGCAGGTGGGCATGCCGATTCGGTGCTTCCACATCAACTATCACAACAGCCGCCAGAACCTGGAGCTCCCGGTCTTCCACGAGCGCCTGATCAAGCCCCTGTCCCTGAAGGAGACCGGGCCCCTGGGCGGCGGCCCCTCTGCCTCCTCCCGGCGGACCTCCATCACTCCGCGCAATTCCCCGGCTCGCATCGAGCCGGTCTTCCTGCTGAACCCCACCGTCACGCCGACCTCCCTGACGCATGTCACCTACAACATTGAGGGCTGCCTCTCGGTTCCCGGCATGGCGGCCATGGTGGCCCGGCCGGATGCCGTGCGTCTGGACGCCGTCAACTTGGACCTGGTCCCGGTGTCGGCCACCCTGACGGGTCTCCCCGCGGCGGTTGTGTGCCACGAGATCGACCATATGGATGGCATTCTCTTCACCGACCGCGCGGCCCTGCCCACCATGCGTACAATGGAGAACATCCTCAACCCGATGCCCTCGAAGTTCTAAATCCGCCCAGGGTGGAGTCTCGCCTGGCCTGGTGGTGTTGCCATGTTTGCTGAAGCGCCGTGTTCCTCTCCTCCTGTTCGCCCCTCCCCTGTCCCACGCGCCTTGCCATCCCTTCCCCCTCCTGTTTGCAGACATGCTCCAGCACCTGGTGATACTCCCCCCCCCCCCCTCCCATAGGGCGAGGATCGCATTTGCCTCGCTCTCTTTCCCCCTTTGTCTCCTGAAAGGCAGACCCTGTCATCCGGCCAGGCGCACATGAATCCCCTCATACACACGTCCTCGCGACTCTCTCTCTCTCTCTCTCTCTCCTTCTGACCATAACCTTGTGGGGTCACAATCGCCTGCATATCCTTTCGGTCGCTGCTCATGTGCCTCCACAAACAAGGACGGCGGTCAAGTTGACACACAGACACACTGTCAAGGAGAGGGAACTATATTGGTGAAAATTGAGCGGAGGGAGAGAGGGAGGAAGATAAATACTATACACAAGGACAAAGGGAACACCCCAAGGGAAGGGGAGGGGAGGGGGGGGGGGGGGGGGGGGGGGGGGGGGGATCCCATTTTCTAAGGAGAAGGAGCGGGCAAAAGACGCCACTCAGGCAGCCGGCTTGTCGCCCTGAGACAAGGAAGAAGCCGGCTGAGGGGGGGGAATCAGGTCTGGGAACCAATGTTGGATGACATTCTGGACGTCAGTGATGCGGATGGGCTTGCTGAGGAAGTCGTCCATGCCGGCGGCGAAGCACTGCTCCTTTTCGCTGGGCATCGCCGACGCGGTCAGGGCAATGATGGTCGGCCGGCGCTCCGGAGCCATGAGCTTGGATTCCGGCGCCCGGATCATGCGCGTCGCGTCCAGCCCATTCATCACCGGCATCTGGACATCCATCAGGATCAGGCTGAAGGATCGCTGCGCCAGGACATCCAGCGCTGCCTTGCCATTGGCGGCCGAGGTCACATCATGGAACCCCAGCAGGCCGAGCATCTTCCGAATGACCAGCGAGTTGACCGGATTGTCCTCCACCACCAAGATCGACAGGGACCCGGGCGAGGCGGGCACCGAGGAGCTGGCGCCGGTCGCCGCAGCGGCCACACCGGGCCCTGTGCCGGAGCCCGCAATGGCGGTGGCGACGACACTGGCAACGGCCGGCACCGGCGAGTCGTCGCACCCTTGGCAGGCATCGGACACCAGCGCCGCCGGGGGGGACTCACTGGCTGACACCGACTCGCTGCTGGCAGGAATGACCACCGCATCCGGGCCAGCCTGGCCGATGGGCCCCTCGCCGCCGAGAGACGGCCGGACCCCTCCATCGAAGATCAAGTCCGACAGGGACTCCGTCCGGTCGAAGTGCTGTGTCGGCAGCGGGGACGCCGGATCAATCAGCGACGAGAGCTCATACTCCTCGGCCGTCAGGCGCTGTGTCGGGATGATGAAGTAGAAGACCGACCCGTGGCGCAGGGTCGACTCGACCCAAATCCGGCCGCCCATCAGCTTGACCGAGCTCTCGCAAATGCTCAGCCCAAGCCCCGTGCCAGCGTGGCTGTAGGTGATGTCCGACGGGTCGACCAGCGGGGCCGGGATCAGCGAGGCCTGGCTGGCCGGGGCTCCCGCCCCCTCGGGGCCGGCATCCACAGGAGCCCCCGCCCCGGTGTCATGGGCAGCGACACCGGCGACATCGGCCCCGGCGCCGCCATCGCCGGTGGCCGATTCCATGGCCGCCGCTTCGGCCGGGGTGTAGTCACTTTGGCGGACCTGCGTGAAGGGGGCAAAGATGCTGGTCAAACAGGACTCCGGAATGCCGCACCCGGTATCCCGGACACTGAATAGCAGCTCCAGACCGCTGGGCGTGGCCGAGTGCACGGCCACCCCGAGGGTGATGGTGCCGGCCTTGGTGAATTTGTTGGCATTGCTCCCGAGGTTGACCAGGACCTGCCGCAGACAGGGGAGATCTTCCAGGATGACCGGCGGCACATCCGCACCGATGGACACCAGGATGGTATTGCCACCCTGGTCGGCATGCACCCGCAGCAATGTGGCCACATGGTTCAGGAGGTCGCTCACCCGGAAGCGCACCCGGTTCAGCTGGACCAGACCCGCCTCGATGCGACTGTGATCCAGGATGTCATTGATCAGGCCCAGCAGCGAGGAGGCCTGCAGTTGGATCATGTCGACGTAGCTCTTTTGCACGGGATTCAAGTCCAGGGACTCCAAAAGCTGCGCCAAACCGAGCACCGCATTCATGGGGGTCCGGATGTCGTGGCTGATGTTGGCCAAATACCGGGTCTTGAAGAGGGAATTCTGCAGCGCATGGGACTTGGCCGATTGGAGTTCCTCCTCCAGGCGGGTGCGTTCCACCGCGCCGTCCTGCAGCCGCGAGCGAAGGGCCTCAATTTCGCGGTCCTTCTCCTCCAGCTGCCGGGCCTGGCGCTGGACACGCTCCTGCAACTCGGACAGCGAGAGGGCATTGCGGATGGCCACCGCCGCGTGGCCACACAGGAAGGACGCCAAGCGGAAGTGCTCGGCCCGGAAGGCCATCCCCGGGTGATTGAGCTCCAGATACACGAGCCCCAGCAGCCGCCGGGAAGCCAGCAGCGGCACACAAATGACCGAGGACACCTGGTGACGCTGGACATACCGGTCCATGGCCAGCGGACTCTCGGCCAGGATGTCCGAGAACCAAATGCTCTCCTGGGTGCAGCGCACGTAGTTGACCACCGAGCTGGCGGCCACCCGGCGAAAGTCCGCCAAGCGTGGGCGATCATACGTCCGCGACACCCCGGGGCCCTGGGTGACCAGGAGCTCCACCAGAAGCTGGGCACCACGCTCCAACAGGACAACCCCCTTCTGCGCATGGGTCTGGGCCAGGAGGGCATCCATCAGCAGGGTCAGCAGTCGGCCGGAGTCCTGCTCCTCGGCGAAGCTCATGGCGGTTTGAAAGTGCAGGGACATGTCCAGCGGCTGGAGCATGGCCGGGGCCGAGATCCCACCAACCGGGGCACCTGGCTCACAGGCCGCCACCGTCGAGAAGTCAGCCTCCCGGGACATGCCCCCGGGGAGCGATGGACTGGCCGTGGCCGACAGGGGCACCCCGGTGTCGAAGGCCGCGGGCGTGGGCTGGTCGATCTTCGCCGAGGCGGCAGCCGCCGCCGCTAGCGAGGAGGGGGCCGACGCCACCCGGTGCAGCGGAAGCAACGACACCATGCCATCCGAGAGAGATGCCCGCCGAGCACCAAGCAATGAGGCGCCCCCCCCGCCGACCGGGCTGGAGGCTGCCTCGCTGCGATTGATCCCAGGGTCCTGGAGGATGTCCCGGCCGCCCGAGGGAGGTGGCAAGGGTGGCGCCGGGGGAGGCGGCCTCAGCGGCGAAGGCGGCGAAGCAAGAGGCACCTGCGCTCGCGGAGGGGCCGGCATCCGGGGGAACACCAACTCCGGCCGAGGCGGCGAGGGGGAGGGCGTGGTGTAGGGCGAAGTGTCTGACAGGTGAATGGCCGGGCGGCTGCGGTGCTCCGGAGCCGGCGGTGTGGTGGAGGCATCCCCGGCCACGGCAGAAAGGGCCGCGGTGGGGGCCGCGTCCGGATGGAGGAGCTTGGAACCCAGGCCACTGCTGGGGCCGGCCTGGGCGTGGCGCTGTGAGGGGAAGGAAAAACGCTGGACATTCGGGTCATAGAAGAGCAACTCGGCCACCTCGGCAATGGGGTTTCCCACCAATCCGCAAACCGCCGAATCCAACAGCAGGCTGATCCCCGGGTCCACCTCCAGGAGGTGCGCCAGGGAGAAGTCCTCCGCCGAAAAGGCCTCGGGCGGGGGCGAGGCGTCCGACGTCGGCCCCATGGGAGGGGGAATCGGCGAGATTGGCGGGACAATGGACGCGGCCGTTGGGGCCGGGGCGGCCGGCGCCACTGGCGAGCCCGGCACCCGGTCAAACGATGCCAGCCCCTCTGGCAGCAAGGGGCGCACCGTGCGGAAGGACCGAAGGGCCATGTCATCCTCCGGGTAAGTAGGCGGCGAGTCCAGCGGCGAGGAGGCCCCCCCCCCGGAGGCGGGTGGGCAAATTCCCGACAGCATGGGGCTCCCATTGCCAGGGGTGCCAGCAAGGGCCATGGCAGCAACGGCAGCCGTCAAGGGGGGGACCCCCTCGTGCGTGGTCATGGCACTGGCCGCGGCGGCCGTTTGTGCACTGAAGGTGGACATCATGTCTTGGATGCCCAGACGCCCATCCGCGGGAAGAGGCGGCGATGGCTGCCGGGGGAAGTCCTGCGGGCGGCTGCGCGGCCGGGCCACCCGCCAGGCTTGGTGATCTCCCAGGCCCGCGGCCGGCACCGGGAAGTTGACCGATGGACGACTGAGAGCAAAGTCCGGCGAGTCGGCCAGTTGATCGCCGGGCTGGGCCAAGTGCACCGGCCGGACGAAGAGACTGCCACTGTTCTCCGGCGCCAGGAGCGGCCAATGGTGCGGCGAGTAGAAGGAAAACTGCCGCCGAGGATGATTCGGCGGGAGGAGGCGCCGGCACCGGCGCCTGAAGGAGCCACTCCGCAGGCCGGACGGCGGGCTGCCCGGCGGCACGACGCTCCCACCCGGCGGCGGTGACCGCGGGGAGAGCTGGCCAAAGCTGCCAAAGGGGTTGTTGGTGGCAGCCGCGGGGTGATGCGGTGACGGCCCGGCCAGCCCCGAGCCACCCAGCGAAGAGTCGCCAAAGAGAACCGAGTCGGACTCCGGGATGAAGGACTCGTACTGGGCCCGCACATGTCGGGCACACCCGACGGCACCCCAGTTGGAGTAGTCTGAGTGCATGTCGACCCGCCAGAGCAGGAGAGGAGAATGCATGGGAGACCGTGTCAGTTCCAAGGATGCCCATGTGCTGGGGGGGAGGGGGAGGGGGGAATGCAGAAGAGGAAGGCAAGCCAAACACCCCCAAAGTACGCACACTGGATGCAGCTCAGGATGGCCTGCGATAGGAGCGGGGTGTTGATCTGTTCCTGCCGGGCCAGCAGCGAGCACACGCGTTGACACACCAAGCCCGCGAAGAAGGGGTTGATGTCTCGTGCGTGGGCGAGAGCCTTGATGTACGTGTCCAGAGGGCCTGTGTAGGGGGGCAGGAGGGAAGGGATAGAGGGGGAGAGGGAGAGGGAGAGGGAGAGGGAGAGGGAGAGGGAGAAGGAGAGAGGCACGCGTGTGTACCGGCATCATCGTCATCATTTTCCCCCCATCGAAAGGTCAGAGAGACCGAACAACGGGCGAGGGTCGGGGGGGCGAAGGGAGAAAAAGGGGATGCACATGAGGCGGGGATGCACACGAGGCAAGGACGCACACTGCCCGGAAAGGCGCAAGCCCTCGGCCTCCACCATGAGGTAGAGGGACAAAAAGTAGCCATTAGTCAGGGAGAGGGTCCGGATGACCTCCGTATACCAAGCGATGTTGGCCTGGAAGAGGCGCGCCTCCTCCGAGCCGGCCGCGACCAGGCCCCGCTCGACGATCTCCACCATGTACTGCGCCGCGAAGACACAGACGCACGTCCCGGACAGGGTCATCGACCGGAAGATGATCACCGACCGCAGGGAATCCATGTGCCGGCGCCAGTGGCGGTAATCGTCGAACAGCAGCGCCGCCACCAGACACAGGAAGAGCCGCGTCATAACCAAGTCCGAGGTGCGCAGGGCCGAGGGGAGGGTAGCCTGCCTGGACAAATCGTCAATGGTATTGGTCAGGCTGGGGTTGCTACCGGCGAGGTGGTCCAACCCGGTGCCCCAGAAGCCGGACGACGACCCCGGCGGCGAAGGGGACCCGGAGGACGACGACCCGGGCGGAGAGACCGACCCAAAGCCGGAGGAGATCGAGGCCGAGGCCGAGGCCGAGGCCGATCCCGGGACGGGACCCGCCGAGGGGCCGGGGCTGGGACCGGGGCCAGGAGCCGAGGGAGGCACCAGCCCCACACCCAGCGTCAGGCCTTCGAAGGGAGCCGTGCAGGAATCGGCCGATGCCGACAGCTTTGACACCGGCAACTCCGTTGACACGGGCAGCGGCTGAACCAGGAACATGTTGTAGATGGCCTGCCACTGGGGAGAGTATGCTGCAGGGACCACCGAGCCGGCCGGATCATCGGGCAGACTGCCGGTGGGACTGGCTGGATCGGAAGAAGGGAGCCGGACACTCGGCCGGGGAGAGCGAGCCGGGCTTGCCCGACCGGCGGCGGCTGTGGTCCCGGCCTCGGAGGCCGCCATCGATTTGAAAGACAGCTCCCAGGCAACGGCTTCGGTCGGGCCGCCAGGCACACTGCTGATACCATCTGAGGACCCCGGGCGACTGGGATTGCTGCCCCAATCGGCATCATCCTCCGAGTCGCCGCCTGGGCTGGAAAAGAAGGAATCGAAGAAAACCGGCAAATAGTCCACCGCCGTGGTGGACCCGGTCAGCGTGTGGAGGAACTCGAAGTACTCGATGAAAACGCGCTGACTGGCACGGGCTGCTCAAAAAAGACACCGCGCTAATGGTCAATATCTGGACATGGCCGGGGGGGAGGGGGGGGGGGGCAAAGGCGAACAAAGGGCACCGGCGAGCGAAGGGGAGGGAAAGGGGGAGGGGGGGCGCGTACGCAGGAGGAGGATCATGTCATCCATGCGGAAAATCAGGTCCAACACCTCGGACAACGAGCGCCCGAGCAGTACCGAGTCGCATATGAGGAAGGTCATTGCGCCAAAGAGGAAGGGCACGTCCTCGTGATCGCGCGCCATCTCCGCCGCCAGGCCCAAGTAGTAGATGCCCATGTGCGGCGACCCGCGACGCCAACTGATACACGAACCAAAAGTCATGAAGGTGCGCGAGCTAACCAGCGAGTTGTCGAACTGATTGGCCAGGACAACCGCGGACTGGTATTGCCGCGTGGTCGCGCATGGAGCGAGGAGGGGTGGGGTGGGGGAGGAGCAAGATAAAGATGCCCCATGTCAACAAAGACAAAGGGAAAAGCGGAGGGGGGCGAGGGAACGAGAGAGAAAGAGAGAGAAAGAAGACAGGAGGTCCACCAAACGCAAAAGTAGGCTTGCGCACCCGGCCCAACTCGAAGGGACACGTCCGGGACTTGAAGGTCGTCAGCCGGATGCCGAAGAGGACGTAGCCGAAGGCGGAGAACTCGCAATTCCCGAAGACGATGCTTGTTTCGACCATCTTCAAGACAGTCAACTTCAGCAGATACGACATGTTGGAGCTGAAGAGGGAGAGGTATAGCTGGTGGCGAAGAGAGCACGGGCAGGAGGGGGAGGAGGAAAGAGTCAGAGGCAGGACACGCCAGGAGGCCCAGAGCAGAGGGGGCGGCCCCAGGCAGCGAGGCAGGAATGAGGGGGCGCATGTGAAGCAGGACGCACATGGAAGAGCACCTCCATCAGCAGCAGATGGTAGGGGCTGGTCATTCGGGGGAGATGCAGAAGCGACTGGGGCCCGCCGACAAACCCGATCAGCCGATCAACATGCAGGGCTCGAACACGCATCAGCTGGAACAGGGTGTCCGGCGATTCGATGGCCGCGCCGCGCAGCAAGAACTGCTGCGGAATGCCACACTGCAGCAGGGTCGATGAGCAAACCTCCAGGATCTCGTCCACACGATCAAGGCGCCCGAGCAGGAAGGCTTGGGAAGAAACAACGGCGATCTAGGTGCGAAGCGGAGGCGCACACACGCACACACACACACACACACACGCACACACACACACACACATGGACCGACGAAACACACGGAGGTCAGCAGGCAGCCCGGCATGTGCCAATTCGATGCATACCCAAGGAAGGGAAAAGGGGAAAGAAAAAGCAAGCTCAACGTACTCGGTCCAGGTCTGAGCGCACATGCTCGCGGAGCGTCTGCTGCAGGTGCAGGGCCTCGTCCGTGAGGGACATCTGCGAGAAGAGATTCGCCGCATCCAGGTGGATGTTATACGACACCCGGTAGAAGTGCGGGCCCCAGCGTTGGGTCGGGGCCGAAGGAAGCAGCCCAAGCCCACACCGTAGCAGGCTGCCCGCCAGTTGGAGATCCATCCGGCCGATGGCCTCGCCAGCGTATTGGTGCAGGATGTGCGCCAGCTGCATGGCCACCAATGGGCAGGCCACCTGCGGCGTCCGAGCCAGAGCCAAAATGCGCAGGACCTGCGGCACGACCGCTGGTGCCTGGCGGTTCAGGGCAAAGCGCAACACCAGGCGATGGTTGATGATGTAACGCGCTCGCCGGTCCAGAACCAGCGGCGCGGCGGCCAGCACTCCCGGGGCCAGTCGCCAGCCGCTGCTGGTCGAGTGCAGCACCCCGGGGCTGGTGCGCGCTTGGAGGGTCGGTCGCTCGGCGAAAATCAACCCCACATCGATGGCCGGCTGCAAAATGTCCAGGTGGCACATGGAAGAAAGCCCCGTCAGGACGCTCACTTGTCCCAGGTGGAAGGGAACACTGAGGAAGGAACACATGTAGAGCAACTCCACGGTTGGCTTTGGCATCAGTCGCAGTAAGGACACGATGGCGGTGGTGTATCGCTCGTCCTCCTGGGATGGAGCCGTGCCCGGGGCCGGGGCTGGGGCCGGGGCCGGGGCCGGGGCCGGGGCCGGGGCCGGGGTCGGAGTAGAGCCGGCTTCCGGCGGCACTGGAGCCGGAGAGGGGGCACCTGACCCGGGTTCAGTATTATGGAGCTTCGCAAAGAGGGGGCACGATGCAAGCTGCTCGCGGTTCAGGTGCCAGGCTTTGGTGGCCATGTCGGGCTTGATGACACCACAGGACCACAGGCATCGGAGCTGCAGCTGTAGCAGCCGATGGTTGTTGGAGCTTTGGACAAGAAGCTAGCGAGCGGAGAAGGGGGGGGGGGGGGGGGTGAGAAGGTGACTGGAGTTCAGACGTGGGGGGGGGGGGGGGGGATGGAGTCACGGAGATATCAGCGACACGGTCAGACGATCAAGCATAGATGGCGATATTGGGACGGAGACAGGACATCACACGCTTGGAAGCATGCGCATGTGAGGGGAGAAGAGGGAGGTGGCAAAATAAAACACACCCGTTCGGCCAGATACTCAGCATCGGCAGGATCGAATCTCATGACGCTCGACAGATGCGCCGACAATGCCGCCTGCGAAATGGGCTGAGTGGCGATCTGCAGGACAAGTGGCGGCAGGTTGGCGCCTGGATGAACATCAGCCGCGGCGCCAGTGCCAAGACTGGCGGCCTCCTTGGCAGGGTCCAGCCACACGGGGTTGTTGGCTTCAGAAGAGGAGGCGGTCACGATGAAGGTCACCCAGTTGAAGCTACAACAGAGGGGGGGGAAGGGAGGGAAGAAAGAGAAAGAGAAGGCGAAGGAGACAGAGGAAAGCAGAAGTCGGTTAGAGAAACTGAATGGAGGAGAGCGAAGGTGGTGTTGGGGGGGGGGGAGCCACGCACAGCTGCATGCGAACGGAGGAATGAACAAAGCACCGGGTTGCGGTGTCGGCCAGATGGAAGTCATCAAAGGCGATGACCACCGGCAGCTCGGCTGTGACGATGGCTCGCAGGAGTCGCGACAAACACCGGCCAAAGGCAATCGGTGATTGCGAGGCGGCGGACAGCAAATGGGAGAAGGGACTGGACGTGGACACACCGGCCAGAAGCGGCGGTGTCCCGGTCAGCGCAGGGCAGGCAGCACCATTCGGCAGGATGGCCATGTCGGCCAGCGTCAGCGTGCAGAAGGGACACGTCTTCCCATCGCAGCAGGCCTTCCCCTGGTCACTGCGCTTCATGAACATCAGCGAGCAGTGTGTCGTCGTGCAGGGGATGGAGTACTCCGGCGCGGCGAAGAGAAACTCCGGACACTGGCACACCACGTGCGACTGGGTGGACAGGGCCTCGGGCGTGAAGTCGACCGGCTCGTCGCCCATGCCCGGGGGTTTGGAAGGGGAGGCTGGCCCCCCGGGCCTGGGAGGCCCGGAGTCCGGGGCCGCGGGCGAGCCAGACGTCGGGGGAGCCGGCCCCGGGGTGCCCGGCCGACTGCCAGAGTCCCGGTCGCCGGACAGGGCGTTGCCAATTTGCAAGATCCGATCCAGCATGGGAATATGCCGGCTGAGGAATTGCACATCGGAGGACAACATCAGCGATAGGCGCAGGCTGAGCTGGGACAGCTCCTCCGTCGGACGGTGGAGGAACTCCGAGAGGATGCCATTGATGGCGCTGAGCAGCGGGCCAAAGGGCTGCCCGCCGGTGTCCGTGCACAGGCTAACCGCGCGCAGGTAGGACGTGGGCGTGTAGCGTCGGGTGAGCTCCCGCAAGATCGAGGACTTGCCGGACCCGGGCGGGCCGTGGATCAGGACCGACCGGCATTCCGCAGGCCGAGGAGTCTCCTCCGACCGGAGGAAGACCGAGGCCAGGATCGGCTCGAGCGTGGCCCAGCCAAGCAGCGGCGAGGGAAGGATCAGATGCTGGGGGAAGTCACTTTGGCGAAGCTGCATATCATGCACGTAGCCATCCTTCTTGACCATGCACTGGGCGGTGAACAGATCCGCCAGTAGACCCATTGATGAGAGATACCGATTGGTGGGATGCCAACGAGACAGGGTCTCCACGATGGCAGCCAGCGTCGGTGGCACGAGCGGGCTCAGGCTGAGGATGGGACAGGGGGACTGGTCCATGCGGAGCTTGATCCACAGGAGACAGACGGATGCCTCGGACAGGGAGGCCGGCAGCCGGGGCGGGACGAAGGCCAAGCAACCGCTCAGCATGTTGAAAAAGACCAGCCCCAGGGCAAAGAGATCGGCCTGGAAGTTGACTGGCGCCCCGAGGCGGAGCACCTGCTCCGGGGCGATGTACGGCAGGGCATGCTCGGCCGTGCGCCAGGCCGTGGGGATGATGTTCCCGGACTTTGTGATGAAGGAGGCATTCTCGAAGCCAATGAGCCGGACCACCGGGGTTCCATCGTTGCAGGCCACCAGAATGTTGTCGGGACAGAGGGAGAGATGTGTGATCTGGCAGTCGAGGGGGGAGGGGCGAGTGAGAAGGTCAGAGGAAGCTGGCTAGGGGGCCGAGGGGGAGGCAATGCATGCACGAACCCGCTCCAGGTGCAGGGCCACGATGCAGGTTGTGATGGCCACCGAGAGGGAGAGAAACTGCGAGGTGAGGAGCCGATGCTTGCGAATGACCGACGTCAAAGACTGCCACCGAGAGGTGGCCGGCGGCACGGCGAAAAGTAACGCAGGCGACACGGGATCGCTATTGCCCCGGGGGAGAGGAGAGGGGGGGTGTCAGAAAGGAAGGACGGGGAGGGGGGGGGGGCGAGGGAGGAGACGAGAAGAGCATGGTGCACGATGAAGAGAGGGGTGGGTACCGGAGAATGCCGAGCACTGGCGGGTGGATGTCGCGCTCGGAGGTATAAGAGAGGATGGAGGACTCTGGAGGGGGGAGGGAGGGGGAGACGGGGAGATGGAGACAAAGATAAACAGAGGGGGACAAGGAGATGCAAAAAGAGACGAAGCGAGACAAGAAAAGGGACGAAGCGAGACAAGAAAAGGGACGAAGCGAGACAAGAGAAGAGACGAAGCGAGGCAAAAAAAAAGAGATGGAGCGAGGCAAAAAGGACAGAGGGAAGATGCAGAGCAAAAGTCAGAACAGGGGAAGCCAGTCAGATGGAGGGCAGACAGGGGACGCACCGTGCTCCAGTTGCGCGAGGGCCAGCTGGTGCGGAGTGTCGGCCGACACAGGGAAGAGGCGAATCAGGAAAGGCTGCGCCAGGGCAGCCGGGCTGACTGCGTCCACGTCGCCCGGCGCTACGGAGTAGCCCTGCGCCCCGCCGCGGATGCCGGAGCAATGCAACAGCAGCGAGGACCGAGTGGCAGCAACAACATACAGATCGTCCCCCCGCTCGGGGGCTGGGCCAAGGGTGGATGTCGGCCAGCTGGCTTCAATGAGTGCGCTGATCTGGGCATCGGTCTGTAGGCTAGGCCGAGTGTCGACGGTCACCCGCCGACAGGCGGACCGCTCGGCCGACTCCGGCAAGGAAAAGGGGAAAAGGTCCGAGGCAATGGTCGACGGACTGAGCCGGGGCTGCTGAGCAGGGGGAGACGATTCGGACTGCTGGGAATGCCTATGCTGGTGAGGGGGCCGACCGGGGGGAAGATATGGCCGCCGGGGGAGAACCGACTCACAAGAGGTCGAGCCGGCCAGCGGCTGATCTGCCCAGCCAAGGGGAGTGTTGGCAGGGGCGGTGGTGGTGGTGGTAGTGGTGGCTGTGGCGGCCGTAGCTGGGGCATTCACCGGGAGGGGGCCCCCAGTCTGGCCATCGAGGATTGTCGCTGCTGCTGCTGCTGCTGCTGCTACTGCCGTCGCCGCCGCCGCCTCCGGGCGGAGAGGCCGGCCGCGCTGAGTGGCAAGGTTGGCAATCTCAGCTGGCCGCCGGGGCACGTTGGACCCAGGCATCGACTAAGGGCGTGCTCAGGGGAAGAAATGTGGGGATTAAGGGGGGGAGGGGGGGGAGGGGGGATGGAGAAGGGGAAAGGAAAGTGCGCTCAGTTGGCGTAGCGAGAAGGCATTGTTCGGGCACGGACGGGGGCCAGAGAAGGGATGAGGCGCGGGAAGCGGAAAGTGAACCGGGCCGCGAAGGGGGGGGCGACGAGCTCGGGGATGTCCTCATCCTCGGCACCGGCGAAGATCCCGGAGAGCCAGCAGGGGGGGCAGGGGCAGGGGGATGACGGGAGGGGGAGGGAGAAGGAGGGGAAGATGGCCAGTGGATCTAAGCACGCTCGACACCTCTCTCGGGGGAAGGGGGGGGGGAGGGGGTGGGGGCCTCTTGGGGCCAACCAGCCGCAGGGTAGGGTCACCGAAAAAGAGTGCCCGCGTTGCCACCACGCCGGCGCCGAAGGGCGGGGGCAGGGTGCGCTGGGAGTACGTCAGGCATGGAGACTGAGGTATGACGCGCACTCATTCACGCCTCTCCCGCTCGCTCACCTTCACCACGGGGGGG